CCCGGGGCGGCGGTACCTGACTGCCCGGGGCACTGTAAGCGTTATCGCCGCTTAAAGTCCTTCTTTCCCACCCCCCGACACCGCGGCAGCGCTCAGGGGCGGGCGAGCCCGCCCTCGCGTCCGTTCAGATTAAAATTTGAAGCAAATTTCCTGAAACAAATCCTAATTTGCCGCTAGATAAAAATCTTTTAACTTCTCCTTTCCTAAAACGTGTACCTGCAAGGACTTTCCTCGCTTCTCAGAGCTCTTTAGAACAGAGTGTTGTGGCTAAAACACCAAACCCAGCTGAATACAGGGGTTCTTTGAGTTCTCTGCCAGAAGCAAAGTACCTCAACCCTTCCAACCTGGTGTTTTCGTGGGGCCGCCCTCGTGTCCGTGTCGCTGCGGGTGTTAGGGGCGCAGGAAGGCAGCTCTCCCCGGCAGCGAAGTGTAGCCCTGGTCACAGTCGAATCCGAGGGAAGAAGGGCTTGTTCTTTGAAAAATAAAGCAACGATGTGGAAAGCCCCTTGCTGTCTTTAAAGTACTGCTTTATTTAATGCCCGTTGTGTTCTTTTGTCTCGTGGCAAGGTATCCTGTTTGTCTTCTGTGCAGGTTGTGGGACACTGAAAACCCTCTGTGTTTAAATGCCACAAAAAGCCATAATTATATTTTGCTGCCCAAGTCTCCAGACTGTTACTTCAGTCAGTCATCGCATAGTGGATGCTGTATGTTATGAATATTAATCGTCCTGCCTAAGTAATCTTCAATTAGTGGCTAATCATACTGGCTGCAACAGAAAATCCATGGTCTATATGTTCTGCTATAAGTCTCAGTCTCAGCTCCCTGAAAGGCAGGCAGCTGTTTTGCTTGTCTTGTACTTGCTTATGCTAGTGAAGAATTGATTATCATTTGTTCCAAGAATCCAGTGCCATCTTATAGCAGCATGAATTGATTTCATAGTAGGCACGTAGTAAGTGACATAAAAGAGAACCAGTTTCCCAAACATCACCTGATAGATGTTAGGAAGCCGATTTACCATTTCCTTCCATGTGTCTGATGATTTGTATCAAGGCATGACCAATTCTTAGCTGCAAAAGGCTGGACTGAGAATTCCAAAGTCAGTAGAGTTGGTGGCAATTATAATTAATTTTAGTTTTTTGTCTTACCATGCACACTCCCAGCTCCAAAATGCACACTTATAATTCTCTTTAAAACTTGTCTGCTTTGGCTGTGTGTGAGTTTGGAAGAGAGAGACGTAACCATGCTTCTGAAGAACTTTCTTTGTTTTGGTTAATGCTACTGTCAACTAAGTGAAATACATAAACAGTATCTTTCACACAGAAAAAAATTGCATTGCTGTATAAACCTGTGTTATTTGATGTTTTCTTTGTGGCATTGTTAAAGAACTGGAAATACCTTGAAAACTGTATAATTGTTCTGTATGAGTGGTATTTTTGAAGACATAGTCAAGAAAAGACAATATGCAAGTCTTATACTTCAAGCCCTGCGATGTTTGAGGGAAGCAAGGGAGGGCGAACGCCAAGTATAGAAATCGGGCCTGTGGAAACTGACATAGCTTTCTGGGTTTTCTTGCTGGATCGTCAGGTTTAGCATACGTTAATTTCATTCAATCTGTTTTATGGATATTTGAGCATTATTTGAGTTGTGTGCAGATTATTTCATAAACTATTATGGTACAGCAACAAATTGAGAAGTTAGGGAGGGATATTTGTGTCATATAAGGTCAACGAATGCTACTAAGAATCAGATGACTGGAGTATAATTCTGCAGTTTGCTAACTGGAAAGGTCTTTTACCTTGACATGGTGCATTTCTTTTCCTCTAGTTTGCAAGTCATGTGTTCTCCGAAGATTTTCCATCCAGCCTGCCCAGCAGAAGAAGATTCCAAACCGGTATTTGGGCCAGCCCAGCCCCTTCACACACCCACATCTTCTCAAACCAGGTTAGGTTCAGGCCAATCATTGCGATTCTTTCTTGTCTCTGTTTTACTGAGATGTCTAGAACAGAGTATTGATTTGCTGCATCGGACAGATGTCTCTGATTTCGGCTGTTTATGATTACCTTCATTAGGCAGTAATTACATTTAGTAGTTAATTTCCTTGTCTGATACGATGCTGAGTCCAAAAATAGGCTTCACATGTTATCTTTTTGCCTTTTTCTCATGGGGTGCTTGGTGTGGCTGACTTCAGTTCTGCAGACCTTTCGTGGTAGTGGCATCTTGGGAGCGCGTTGTCCTGTGAATACAGTACAGTTCATGTTAAGGAGGACTCCTTTGTGCAAGCTGAACTGCTAGAGTGCTTCATATCTAATGTCTCATGGGTCACAAAATAAAGGCGTAATTCGGAAAAGGAGATCACAGAGAGACTTACTGAGAGTTGGACACCACCTGTCTAAAGAACATGCCCCCTTCAGAAGAGTGTTCAAGCTGTGAGGAAAAGAAGAAAAAGACAAAGATAGCTTTCTGGCTATCAGAAAGCAGTGATGAAAGAGGAGCTCAGGTTGTGTGGTTATATGAGATTAATGAAAATTGACATGTAGGTATGAGATGACCATGATTAAATCTAAAAAAAAATTGAAGTAAAAACATATTCAAGAATATGTTCAGGAAAACATTCTGGTTCTGTGTTCTTTTTCCATAGATAGGTATACAGAGAGAACAGATGAATATATAACCATGCTCTTACATATTTAACTAGAATAATTCAGATCAGAAGGGACCTCAGGAAGTTATTAGGTCCGCCCTGTGCTCAAAGCTGAGCTAACTTCAACACTAGATCAGGTTGCTTAGGGCACTGATGAACAGCTCTCAGTAAACGAGACTGACACCTTAAAAGTACTCACAGCTAAAACACTGGATATTAATTCCAGCTGCCCATAGTAATTTTCCATTTAATAAAAGAGTGGTGTTTTCCTTAAAATAATACATTGTTTTATTGCAATTATTGTTTTAAAAAGCAAGTGTCTTTAAGGCAAAGAAAATTTCCAGGCCTTGCAGTCAGAAGACAAATGGGATTCCCATGTTCCACCCTACTGCAGTAGTTAGAAAGCTGACTGGAATGCAGCGGAGTGTAGGAGATTTGCAATATAATATTGCAGAAATGTGGAGTCAGATTGCATTAAAACAGTTTCTGTGTTCTCTGTCATTTCTAGATCTACAGAGTAAAACAAATCTGGTGGGTTTGTTTTTGTCTTTAAAAAAAGAATAGACTTTTATGCCAAATGGGTGTTGAGGATGTATGGAGTTGAAAAGGTATAAAGTTTGATACAAATACAACATATGAGATTTTCTTAAAGTCTCTTTCGTCAAGGAAAAACATTCTGGATAGGACTTTCCTCTCCCACCCACCCATGCCAGAATACACTTACAGTACAAGTTAAATTTAAATTTTTATTCTAGAATTGTCACTGCGTAATACAATAAAGAGGAGGAAATATTATGAAAGTAGAAAGTTAACAACAAGAAAATGTAATCTATGTTAAAGTAGGGTACTGGCCAAAGTATTGATTAAGGCTCATATATTAATTTAAATCATAGTTAAGGAATCTCACATTTTTAAAAATACATACTTAAGCTGTTGTCAGTTCTTTCAACTTCAGTCTGGTTTTGGTGAGTATCTTCATCGCCATACTTCATATCCTTCGTGACTGGAGCAGTTTAAAACATACTTTTAACTAAGAGATCATTTGTTTATTTAGAGTCATTAGGAATATAGTATTTAACTTTGGAAAAATCCAAATTATTAATTATTGAGAAAAGCTACATCTGCCCTGGAAGAGATTCCTTCTCTTAATCAGAGTCTGCTGCCAGCCTGCAGTTCATGGTTTCTTTCTGCCTGGAACCTTGTGACTGGTTAGACTCTGCAACCTCTGTGTTTCTGGCTGATCTCTCAGTATCTGTAACACTCAATCGCCCCTTATGGTTTAGAACTAGTCACTTAATGAGTTGACTTAGTGTGTATTTGAATAGACATTCTAGCTTTATCTGGGGAAACTAGTGCTCAACCTCGTGAGGTAATCTTCTGTTCAATGTCCAGAAGCCATAAAACCCATTAGTTTTCATCAGTCAAAGTTCAGTTTGCGTTGCTCCTTCCCCTTTTCTTACATGTCTTTCTGAAAATACCCATCTGTTCAGATGTTTGTCTAAATGTACCAGGTTTTGTGATTTCTGCTGTTACATGGAAATACGTAACAGAAAATTCGATTTGCTAAACTAAATTTCTGTCTTTGCCTGTTGAAGGAGCAGATTGAGTGAGGATGTGCTATAGGGATGGAAGCTCAAGAGATATGTGAGAGAGTAATGGAAAGGTTAATGAGGGGCCACAATGAAACCACGTATGTAAAAGGCTTCAGGGAGTAGGCAGGAATCGGGCACGCAACTAGTAAAATATCGTAAATGCTTTGAATTTCTCAATCTGATTTGTTTTGTATTCATAGGAGAGGTAACCCCAGGATTGTCACAGGTGGAATATGCTCTTCGCCGACACAAACTGATGGCGTTGATCCAGAAGGAAGCCCATGGCTGGGATGGATTGGACCACACAGTGATTCTGCTATCCAACCCCACATACTACATGAGCAATGACATCCCCTATATTTTCCACCAGGACACTAATTTCCTGTACCTCTGTGGGTTCCAGGAGCCTGACAGCATCCTGGTGCTGCAGAGCATTCCTGGCAAGGCACTGCCCTCCCACAAGGCCATACTTTTTGTGCCCCGGAGAGATCCAAGCCGAGAGTTGTGGGATGGGCCCAGATCAGGTGCAGATGGGGCAATTGCTCTCACAGGAGTAGATGAAGCTTACCCCATCGAGGAGTTCAGCCACTTGGTGGCCAAGCTGAAAGGTAACAAAAAATGGAGGGGGAATGAAATGAGACATGGTTTGCAGGGTCTGAGTGGTATGGGTTTGGAAGGTGGTCTGTGACACCAAGACTATTGTGAACTTCGGGAGGTGCAGGGGGTATGACAGTAGGACAAAGACAATTGGAAGTTCTTGTTAGCTTCTTGAGGGTCATCAGTGGACATGTAGTTTTGAAAATAACAGCTTTTCCTCCTCTCTGAATTTCTTGTGTACCTATGTGAACACGCCAGTGTGCACATCTGTGAAATGTAAGGAACAGGATAAGCAAGACAGCATTGCAAACCGTGTAACTGTTTTGGTCATATCGTCTTGCTGACAGACCCAGAACCAGATGAAGCATAGGAAACTTGAAGGTGTTTTATTCATAATAGACTTGGAAAATGATCCACACAGGGAACTTATTAGTCCACTCACCTTTTTTAGCTACATGTTAACTTACTTTTGAAATACAAACATTGATGTCCTTTAGATACGTTCTTTTGCTCGAACATCACCATGTGGCCTCAATACTTGTAATCCAGGGTGAACTTAGTGCATTATAAAATGAAGTTGAAGTCTTATGACAATATAAAAAGGGCAAATGCTTGGGGGATTACACAAATAAATAGAGTGAATGCTAGAGTTTTAAATACCATCTTGGATTCTTGTTATTTTGTTTCAAATAAGGATACATTGAAAATAGGAAAGTCACAGAAAGGGCAACAAGAATGATGGGAAGTAGGGAGTGTGTGTGAGATGCATGCTGGACAAACCTCAGTTTGAAAAAGAGAAAATGGAGGGTAAGGTATGAGAGATGTGTATGGTTATGGAAAGTGCAGAGGGGATGAGTAGGAATGATTAGTTGCCATTTTTCGTCATTTACAAACAAAGGCAACACTGAATGAAATGATCACATGGCAGGTTTTGACACCTTTTAAGTTTTAAGTTGTAGATCATTCATGGAAGGTTAGGTATGTCAAAAGTATAAATGGGTTCAAAAATTTTTAGTTCCATGGGGGAGAGGTCCTTGAAAAGCAACTAATCACAGTTCTGAAGATGCAGCCTTGAAATGAAGAAATAAAGAAGTAGAGAGGACATGCTAAGGGAAATACTCTTTCATAAATGCCCAATTTCTTACACACTTTTTGTCATCACCTGCTAATGGCTACTGTCACCAAAGAAGGAGGGCCTAGGTGGACATTAGGTGTGACTCAGCATGGCTTTTCTACTCATTCACATTTAAAATGCTCCTGTGGGGAAAATGTGGGTGCTAATTCTGATGTTCTAAATAAATTTCCACATTGGTAAATGTGTTTGTCCCCAGTAAGTTCATCTTCTCTGAATACCTAAAATGAGCAATTGTTCCCCAAAGATATTCTGAAGTGTAGCTGACAATGACCCTGATTCTATGTGATGGGTAAAAGGTAAATTGCCTTACAGCATCGAGGGCACAGGCTGTGTCAGCTTTTATTTTGTATTCCAGGTGAGTCAAGCATCGTTTGGTATGACTTGAGAAAACCAGTGCATAGAGACCTGCATTCTGACTACATGCAGCCCCTGGCTGAGATAAAAGCTCGGAAGAAAAACCAGATCCAGGGCATCCGACATCTAGTGCAAAACCTTCGGCTCATCAAATCTCCTGCAGAGATTGAAAGGATGAAGATAGCTGGGCGAATGACAGCAGAGGTATGGGTTGTGTGCTCTCCAAATGAACCAGTATATTCCTTTAAAGAAGAAAGGGGGGAGGGCTGTTGATGGGGTGACATGGGTTGGAAGGATAGCTTTGGTCTCATCTGTTACTGAACTGCTGTGTCTCAGCGATCGGCTGGGCTCAGCTCCCTCCCTGTGACAAGTTGAAACAGGAAGACTGCTTGGACTACCAGCTTCTCAATAAATGTATCTCCATCGAAGACAAGCCAACAGTCATTAGATTTTGTTTAAGAGCAGTATCTATTCAGGAGCAGAGGTAACCTCTTCACTCTCTTCCCAACTTCCCCTCTCCTTCCCCATGCCATTTTCTTTCCCATTTATCCTGTTGATTTTGAGGAAACAGGATTTTTGTGAATGCATTGCCTAGGTATGTCTCCGTATTCCCCCTTCTCCCTCAAATATCTTTTGAACTATTGGCCAATTTTAAACAAATCTGACAGATACCTCAAATGCAATTATGTTTTTGTAAACATTATTAAAATAGATAGCCAAACAGAAAAGAGAGGCACAGCTTGTCTTTCTCTGAAGGAGGAGCTGCATAAGGCACTCCTGTTATATGTGAGGAGATCCATAGGTGAGACAACTCATAAAATGCAAACCCATGGGATCAGCTTCAGTCATCCAACCCTTTTTGAAAAACTAGAGTCAGTCAGCACCTAAATAGAGTTTCATGCGGAACAGAGCTTACTAGGTTCTAGTCTTGACAGCGGTCTGCATTTTCAGCTGCCTCTGGTTTCCGTGTTCTGGGCCAGCTGATTTTAGGCCTTCCTCAAAAGACAGCGGGTGAAAAAAAAGAACTTCCCTCCAGTTCAGGCTCCTTTGCTAACTGAAAGGCCCTTCTTTTTCATAGGCTTTCACAGAGACAATGTTTGCCAGCAAATCCCCCGTGGATGAAGCCTTTTTGTATGCAAAGGTGAGTACTTCGTGTTTGGAGGTGAGATAGAAGGGATGGATATTGTTTATTCTTCCAGGAAACTAGAAATGTCAGATCTCTCTGTAATGTGCCTCCTCCCACTGTAGCACATTTCTCCTTCACGCAACTCTTATGGTTCCTAGGACAAGCAGAAAAGTCAGTGTGAGGACTTCTTCAGCTATACTCCCCATACCCTTATTTAAGGAACGTATTGGTTGTCTAAGTTTATCTGCTATTGATGTCTTTTTTCCTCTGTATTTAAATATAAACTCTGCTAAACAATCAGAGATATAGTTATTATCTTATTCTGTATTAGGGTTCTATCGTACAGAATTTAAGTAGTTATAACACCTATTTGTAAAGCCTGCTTGTCTTGACTCTAGCCTCTTACTACATCAGATTACCACAGCTATCTTGAAGCAGTGTAGACGCCTCTCAGTTACAAAATAAGGACTAATTGGCCTGCACATTTGGTAAGGAATTTTGTAAACCATTGCAGTGAGATGCCTGTTTGAGAAACATCTGCAGGATTTGACCCTCTGTTATGACATAGATGGGCCTGTGCTGAGATGGCACTGAGCAGCATTACTGACTTGTAAAGAAAATTATTTTAATTAGAGTGTGTTTTACGATCAATATGTCGCTCCAGATCAGGATCGTAAAGCCTACTTTACTACGTGTAGGCATCCTGGAGTGTTCTGTCCCATGTGGTTTTGGTAATTATAGAAAAGACATGTTATTAATATATTGAGGATATAGAGGGTCTTTATAGATGTTAAGTTTATTCTTTTCCATACTTTCATCAGCTTCAACATTCAAGAAAGGTAAAGATTTTGAGACTTATAGTGCCTTTTTTTTCCCTTTTTTTTCCCTCAGACATCAAGGTAGTGCATGCTTTCAAACCTTCTTAGCTCAACAGTCATGAAAGTAGATTCTGCTGTAAATATGCTGGTACCTTGTAATTTTAAAAGATAACAAAACACGGCTGTTGTCATGCTGACGTTTAGGATCTTTGAAAATTTGCAAAGTCATATGGCGACTAAGAGCGTTACTTTATGTAAGAACAAATCCTCACCTGGATTTATGACAACGTAATGAATGTTTGATACAGTATTGAACAGCTTGCACCAGAAAGATCTTCCATGAGACCAGATGCAGACCTAAAACACTCTCTTAAAAAGTGGATAGTTCTGTATTTTTTTTCTCCAGTGTTTTTGGGAAACCTTCAAAGCTGCTTTCATTTAGTGAACTCGCTTTCCGGTTTCACTTTGTGTTGTACAAATCAAGAAAACAGTTGTAGGACATGAATTATAATAGCCTCAGGGCAGTTGATCACCTGAATCAGCACTAACTATCTCCTCCTCTCTGAATTGGTATTCCAGTTTGAATTTGAGTGCCGGGCTCGTGGTGCTGACATCTTGGCCTACCCCCCTGTTGTTGCTGGTGGCAACAGATCAAACACTTTGCACTATGTGAAGAACAATCAGCTCATCAAGGTAAACCATATGCTGTCCGTTAACTTAAAATGCAGTGCTGTGACACACCGTCCCCATATGTGTCCCCTAGCTGCTCTTTGTTTTGACTGAACAGATCAAAACACTTAACTATATATTTTCAAGTGAGCAGGGGAAAGGAATCCTGCCCTGTTTAGTTTTACTGTCAATGACAGATTAACTTCATTTCATCTAGTCTCTTTCTCTCCTCTTTGCACTTGTTGAAGTATTTTCTGAACAGTGGAAGGACTTGCAAAGAGACTTGCAAATCACTTCATTTAGCGAGCATGTCTGCTCCTGTGCCATGTGCTGCAGTGTGCAGTGCTGGGTGGGTTGCTAACCTCACAAAAGAGAGGGACTGCTGCAGAAGGCAGAGTGAAGACACTGTGGGAGGTCTTCTGCCGTCACTGGTGTTGCTTGGCCTTGCTTTGCAACATAAGGTGCAGTAGTGCGTTCCTGCTCTGGCAAAGCTGAAAAGCATTTCGGACTCCATGTAGGCCAGCAAAGCAGGGAAAGGGAACAAGGAGGGAAGGGATCAGTGTTAAATGTTGAGAGATGGATTAGATGGCTGTAGGTAAATTAACATGTCTTGTCCTGTTTTGAAGATTCGCATTTCTGAATTGAACCCTCTCCAGCTTTCCTGCCAATACCCCTTTAGATTCAGAGAAGTGTTTCCAAGAGCAGTATTCCTCCACTACTCTACTCACAATTCACTTTTCAGAGGAGCGTATTTTTCCTCTGTCTTAATGCAGGATGAAACTTTCCCACTAGCATTATCTTTTCTTGAGGCTGGCGTGCTAGCAGACCTTGAAATGATCTGCAGAGACAGATGTACAAAAGATATGACAGTCTGCTTTTGGCAGAAAGAAGCCTCCTTTGTTGTACTGTCATCCAAGGTCAGGCGCGCTCATGTAACTCCAGTTGCTTCTGTTAAAGTTGTTCATTTAAATGTCTGTCACTTGTTTTTTTTCAAAACTGCTAAGTAGGAGGTTAAATCCGTAAACTTGACTCTTTCTTTTCCTTTGTGTGCTACTTCCTACAGATCTTCTAGCCAAATAGGCAAACAAAGTGTCTAATTTGGAAGGTATCTGAAGGCTGCTATGCCTCACATGGACTTCATTCAGTCCACCACTTAGTGGACTCAGCTTTAAAGAAAGAGGACAAGATGCATGACATAAGGCATTTACTGGACAGTCAAGCCACAGGCTGAATTCCTTTAGCCAATAAATTGTTACTTAGCTTGTTTAATTGCTTGGAAGAGGGCAGATGCTATAATTTCATATTTTACTCAAAGAATTGAATCAGCTATTCTGAAAAAGTTAAAAATACAATTTAAATGAATAGTTAATAGCCTGACTATTCAGTGGGATAGTGAGATCTGTTCACTGCTACTTTATCTACCTGTGTAAGTGGTTGTGGCACTTAACTGTACATAATGATAGTAGCTAACACTGGAAGTAGTGCTAGCAGTGAAATTCTTATTATTATTCTTCCTCTTAACGTGCTAGAATTATTCCTTATCATTCCACATCATGGCTGCTGGCACAGTCGCAGATCTGTGGAGTGAATCTCTATAAAAGGCCTTGGAATACATGTAGTGTAAATCCATAGAGAATTTAATCCAAACTTTTTGCAGATCTCACTGCTCTGTTTATAGACCCTTTAAGGAGGGAAAGCAGACAGTGGTTTTGTTCCTGGCCCTTTGTCTTTTTTTCATGGCTTTTGGAAGATGTGCATGCAGTCAGTGACTCAATTGACATGGAACAGTTTTGCTGAACTGAATTCGAGATTCACACGTCCAAAAGTTTTTTGTTCATCACCAGATAGATTCAAAAGTATATCTTAGAGCAGTCAAGAAACTTCCAGACGAGAACAGGGAAGATGGAACAAACTATTCAATAGCGCATTTACAATAGTGGTACACTGTCAGAGAAGTGATTTTGCTGGATCCTCCTACCTTATGACCAGGCTGTTAGTGATCTTGTGGGTAGCTCGGAAATCTATGGTTTTGTTGCAAAACCATTCTGTCTCAGTCACTAGCAGAGAACTTCTAGTGAAAGCAGTCACTGGTGTAATTTGCTGGAGTAAACAATCCAGATGTGAATGGGACTGATGTCTCAGAGCACAGAATAGTTCAAGGAAAACGTCTTTTTTTTTATCTCAAAGTGTTTGAAAATCAGCGTGTTAGGAGTTCAGGCTGTAGATAAGCATAACAGTCAGAGATTACCTTGCAGAGAAACAATCCAACTGGAGTAGCCTATTTATAAATAGTAGCAACTGGGGTGTTGTTCTGTCGTTCTGGGAATTCACATCTTTGCAGCTGCTTTGCAAAAATAAATGCATAATCTCCTTTCCTGCTCTCAGACAGAGAAATCAATTCAGTTAATAGCTGGACTGACTCACAGGGCATTTTTTCCTGTTATTCTCCAGGATGGTGAATTGGTCTTACTAGATGGTGGATGTGAGTATTCCTGCTACGTAAGTGACATCACGCGTACCTGGCCTGTCAATGGAAGGTATGCTGCGATAGGGCTGTTTTCAAGAACTTTAAACTCTTAAATAATTGATGGATTGAGTGTATGTGTGTTTAATCTCTGTGTGAGTAGTTTTAACGTGTCTCATTCTGTGGTTCTTCAGAGTAATCAAATTATATAAACCAATCTTTCAGGACGAGAAGCTGTATTCCCCACTGCCTCATTAATTACTGCATGAATATGTGTGATTACTGCTATTTTCAGCTATTACAGCACACCTAATGAGCAGAGACAGCTTTTGTGCATTCTGTTGTGGCTGACTGTGGTTGTGTGTAAGAGAAGTTTAGTTGACCTGAAGTTTAGTTGACAACTATCAGTTGTGAATTTGCTGGTGTGGTGTTATTGTGGTTATGTGTTTGATTGCTGTATGTTTTGGCTCAAGTGTATTCTTTTTCCTGCAGTACTTTTGTCTTGCTTTGCTTTCAGGTCAGGTTGTCAGCTGGGAAACTCTGCCTCTACCTGGTGTATTGAAGGGCATGTTGCAGTGATACCTTGTCTGGCCTTTCATATAAGGAGCCAGTTGCTTTCCTTTCTGACTTTCCCTGCTCCAACATTGAACTGAATCTGTACCCAAAACAGGGTCTGTGTTTAATTGTGAGAAATGTCCTTTATTCCTTTTCTCAATGATTTTCAGGTTCACCAAACCCCAAGCAGAACTATACCAGGCTGTCCTGGATATCCAGAAGTCCTGCCTGAGCCTCTGCTCCCCAGGCATGAGTCTAGAAAATATCTACAGCCTCATGCTGAGTCTTATTGGACAGAAACTGAAAGAGTTGGGAGTCCTAAAGAGCAGCATCACTGACAGCCACTTCTTCAAGGTACTTGAAGTTGTTTTACACTAGCTTCCCCCCTACTAGGCCTGACTTTTTTCTCCTTGGGTTTGTGTTAGTGGCTTTAGTTTGGCACAGGAATGTGCTTTTGAGATTAATCTTGTCCCCACTGACTACAGTTCCATTCATGTTGTGGGCTGGTCTCAGCACAGAACTGGATTTCTCTCAAACAAGATTGAACTTCAAGATATGTTTCAACCATTCAGCGCACAATTTGGTCTGAAGTAACCCCCCAGACTTATACACACATAGTGTGAATATTTGTTCCTCAACACTTGCTGTTTCACTCTGCAGATCCATTCCTGTTGGTCTGCAGTACTTTTTAGTGTGGATGCTGCTTTAGAGTACAGACAGTCTGAAGGAACCTATAGAGACATTGGCGCTAGCACAAAATTCTGGGTCTGGGGCTGACTGCAGGCAATTAGTCACCGTTTAGTGATCCGTTTAACATAGCATAAATCTGCAGTGCCACCAAAAGATGCGCCCCATTCTTCTCAGTTCTTCCACCTGCTGCCTCTTCTGCACTGTTTATGTCAGTATTGGGATTTACAGAGCTATCCAGTGAACAGACTGGGTAACTGGTCTTCCTTAGAGGTGGACCTGCAGATAAAATAAGATTGGTTTGCAGTTCGAGAAGTTTGTCTCATCTCACTCACTGCAAACTCGCATGATCGCTGGTGTCGATACAAGAAAGATGGCAGAACCAGGTGACAGAACTACCCCTTTGGCAGTAGTACAGATTTCTGCCAGATTTAATTGTCCTGCAGTGTCAGTGCCATGACAGCACGTGTTTTTGCCTGTGATCAGAGGCTAAACCACCATTTCTCTCGGCAGGCGGCAGCACGGCCAGATGAGACCAGTGTCTGCAGCTCAGTCTCTAGTGAATGTGAGGAGTGTGAGGCAAAGGAGGAATTAGCTCTTTGATTCCTGCTGTCAGGGAGCTCCTTTCTGGAGGGAGGGGGATAAGGATGATGTGGGGGAGGGCAGTGACAGTGCCCTGTAGACGTGGATTAAAATTCTGCTCCAGCTGCTGCGTGAAATCAGCCCAGCATCCACTCTGTTGTGCATACGAGACCTCTTTGCCACATCACGTAGCAGCTGTATCAGCTGCTGCTGGTTGTCAGGATCTGCTGATGGGAGCAAGGCAGGGCTTGGATGTTTAAGGGATGGAAAGGAATGGGGCAGCAAAGTTCAGTGAGCTGGAAACTAAAGTCTTGCCTGACATGCCGAGGTGGTGATGGGCTTGGGCTGTTCTTTTTAGTGAGGGGGAAAGGCAGTCTGCAATATACTCATAATAGGCACTTGGTATGGGTGGGTTTTGAGGGCCATCAGTTCTGGTAAAGGTGACCTAGTCATGGCAGTAAGATTGCTAGTTAAGCACACAACTATTCTGTTTCTTCTCCCCACCTTTTGTGTAGGAACAAGAGGTTGGGCTGTGTTTAACTGCTCTGTGACACTTTTTTGTCTTCTGTTAGGCTGTTCGAAAGTACTGTCCACATCATGTGGGCCATTACTTGGGCATGGATGTTCACGATACCCCAGATATATCCCGATCACTCCCGCTCCAACCAGGCATGGTCATAACAATTGAACCAGGTAAAAAGAGATGCACTCAGTGGTGGACAAAAACATGCCAACACTGAGGATAACAGTATTGCTTTAAGTAGTTAATTGATCCCTCAGACCAAAGCATTCAGGTCCTTTCTGGTGAAATTGAAAATTATTAGAAAACCTTAAGTTATTCCCTCCCAAAATCGTTACAGTATTAGAAAACATTATTTCCCTCCCAAACACAGCTAAGGTAACAAACTATGGGAGTAAACTCTCAGAAAGTGCCTGTGCAGCAGAAGGGAGAGTAGTGTAGACCTCAGACTGCTGGTGTTTGACCCACAGCAACACAGGTCAATCGCAGTGCAGAGAAGCAGGGTCAATTCACTTGTGCTATGGTCTGTGTTACTATGACTAAACTACTACCAGTCACTGGTAGTGCAAGTCTCAAGCGTTGCAGTCTGCAGTTACAGGCATTCACAGCTCAGCTTTGCAAATTAGGCATTTTGTGATGAATCTTTCTTTCTGCTTGTCACTGGATTTGGAGCTGTCAGCTGGAAACTGATACTTAACGCTTTGCTCTTCTCTCTCTCTGTTCAGAACATTGCTAAAAGCATCATTGGGAGCAAGAAGTGCAGAAAGGCCAGCTGTAATTGTGGAAGTTTTTATTAACATGTTAGTGTATGCAGGCACTGAGGGACACTTTCCTTTCTTAGCCCACCAACTGCCATGAGTGAGAGGAAAGAGAGCAGCTTTCCTTATTAAAATTTTTCAGGATCAAACTCATGTTATGTTGCTGAAAATCCAGCCTTGCTCTCATGGTGGTGCAGTAAGAGAACGGTGGTGTTTTGGAGAGTGTTGTGTGTTTTAATTCCCTTTCTTCTTTCAGGCATTTATATCCCTGAGGATGATGTGAGTGCCCCGGAGAGGTTTCGTGGCATTGGTGTGCGCATTGAGGACGATGTTGTGATAACAGAGGATGTGCCTCTCATCTTGTCTGCCGACTGTCCCAAGGAGATCTACCACATCGAGCAGATCTGTGGCCGCAGCTCGTAATGCCCCTTCTCTGCCTCTTGCATCCTCCTCGGCAGACGCAGCCCTCAGGGATGCAGATCTCCTGTAGCTGGCTCTAGTTGTCAAGTGATGGAGGGTGTGGACAGTTGATGGCTGTTTCCAAGACTGGGGCTGGGAAGTGGAATGCAAAAAAAAGGCTTGAGTACTGAGGAATGAAAAAGCAAAGCAACCTTTTCTGTGTGTGTTTTCCTTCTGATTTGATTAGTGCTGATATTGACCTTTTGTAGGACATGGGAGTGGATTCAACCCTCTGCTGTGTGGATCCATCTGTTCTGGTGCCCTTAGAGGGATGAATTTTTTCAGTGCCACCAGCAGGGCTTCTGCTTGGTCCCTCTCCAGATGCATAGCTGTAACTGCTGAGACCAGGGCCACATTTTCTCCTCTTTAGCAGTAGTTTCACAACAGTCAGATTTTTAAAATGAGGCTTTGATAAATGCTGTTTTAGGGGAATAAAGTGTGTCAGACAGCTTTGATTTTTATAAAGCCCTGGAAGGAGGGATTTTGGTAGTCAGGAAGATGGAATTCGTTGGGAGGTAGTGTCATCTGAAGCCTGTGGAGAACGCTTTTAGTATTTAAGGATAAAAATATGTTTGGGCCTTGTTCAGGCATATGCAAAATAGGCCAACAGCAGGGAAAAACATGTCGTCTGGTCTTTCAGCTTATTAGAGTGTTTGGTAATTTCAGAAAGGACAAATAGAGCTCAGGAGGTTGGACATACACATTCTTGCTGTCTTCCAGATTCCTTTCTTTTTGTCCCAAATGTCCATTCCAGTCTTCTGTTCTGAGCCCGCCTCTACGCTGGGAAGCAGGGCTGTGTTGGCTGTGCTGGACTGCACTGGTGAGCTGCTGGTTGTCACCTAGATGTGAGATGTCCGATTCTGGGACAGTCACAGCACCTTTCTGGTTTATGCTCTAAGTGCCAGCAACTTCAGCAGTTCATTTTTGAAGAATCTGCCCTATGGTGAGTCTCAAGTCTTTGTACGGCTTTTATATGGAATTTGAATTATTTCTCTGTTTCAAAACACTGAGGGCATGATCATAGCTGCCTTTTGGGTTTTGCCAAGCGCATTCAGTAACTAATGCTCTGTGATAATATTTTTGAGGCAGCTGAAAATGTGATTAGGGGCTAGGATGGATGAGGAGTAAAGAGAAGGGTTGTCTTTCCTCAACATCAGCTTGCCACCCAGGCCATTGTATGTAGTAGGAAATACACCTACTAGAGGCAAACATGGCATCTGTGTATTTAATGAAAATATTTTGACAAACAGCTATTTAACATGTCTGAGAGAGGTAGTCAGGGTTCCTGAGTTCAACCTCTGGTTCTGTTGCTGTATAACCTCTAGTGACATCTGCTTTTTTGGGTGGGTTGGTTTTTTTGTGTTTTTGTTTGTTTGTTTGTTTGTTTGTTTTTTGGTTTTGTGTGTTTTTGGTTTTTTTCTTTTCTATGTTTCCTTTCACTTAGTGAAGGCCAACTGAAGAGTCTCATTGCTTTTAATGGGAGCTGGGTGCATGTGCTGGGGTTTGAACTTGGCACTTGAAAAGCAGCCAAGACATGTAATTTTATTTTTTAAACATGATGAAAAATAAATGCTTTTACAGAGTTTAGTGTATCAAGTTTCACCTATTTAAGAGAATCTGCTATTCTTTGATGCTCATGCATTGCAGTGATATGTACAGTGTAAATTGGTAGGATGAAGGCTTGTTAAGTGTGGACACAGAACTGATGAATATTTTTGATATTGTTCTGATCTGTGACGCGTTTGTTGTTCCAATTTCACCTGTTAGAGCTATGTCAACTGGGACAAATCTTGGATTTTGGAACTATGTAAGCAGCCTAGAATAACATTAACCTGAGACCTACATGTGTGTGCTGATCTGCACATCTACTCGTGTACCTAAGAGAGTTAATAATTGTACTTACTGTAAATAAGCCTTTGAAATACATATAAAAAGTTATTTTTAAAATAAAATAATTTGTAGAAAGTAATTTCTCAGGCCATCGAGTTGCATGGCTGTCGAATAGGTATAAGCAACTCCAGGAAGAGCACTGTTTTTCAAGATTTATAAATTAACTGTAACCTATCTTGGACTTGAAGTAACTTTGTCAAATGTAGGCACACCCTAATTCCTACTCCTCTCAGGAAAATCCTGCAACTTGCAAACACCAATAGGTCTTAGGAATGTGGCGGATGAATGTTTCTGTAGGTAAAGAAGCGTTTGTGGCTCTGCTGAGTGGGGAGTAATGCATCTGCTAGGGCTGCTGTGCCCCACCATGCTAAGTGTGTCTGAATTGCTCCATTTTCTGTAATTCTTCCACAGTGTTCAGCCATTTCGTCAGCATAAACAGTTGCTAATGTGTTGAATCTGTTGTTCCATGTAAAGAGTGCATTTTGCAGATTGTATTAAATTTGAGTCTTACCAACCTATGCTTTTGAAGACTTTTCCTCACTTGTTGCAAAGGTGGATAATCAGAGTATCATCTGGGACCTACGTGTATGCTGCAGTGTCCCTTGAATACAACCAAACTCATGAACGTTTTACATGACCGTCAAGAAACGCTGAAGAATCCCATCTCCAGCTGCACGTGTCCGTGGCGAACCTCCCCAGTCGCCAATCCTGTACAGCTAGATTTACGATCGGTCTCTGCCAGAGAAGAAATTCCTCTCTCCAGCCACTTGGGTGCAGGAGCAGCTCTCAGTGGCGGCACAAGTTGCCAGCTGCTTGATGAGGGCGTTGGTGGGATCACTGGAAGCAACAGAGAATTTGAGGTATATGCACGTTCACAGGTGGAGAGATTTTATTGTGACTATGGCACAGGACTAAAGGGCATCTGAATACAAGAGAAAATTTTCAAATCGGAGCCAGCCCATCCCTATGAAGAAGCTGCTTTGTTTTCAGAGGAAGCCCAGGAGGCTTTTCTTGGCTTTCTCGTTTCATATTCTACCAGGGGCCTGCTTTGCCTCGCAGAGAACTAGTTAGTGGTAAAGTCCTGTTGTTAAAGTACAGTCTGAGCAGAGGTGCTAATTTGCAGAAATGCTTCTGTTGTCAAAGTGGAAAGAAATCTGGCATTTTACACAATTTGTCACTGTATCTCTGTTATCTGTGAAAAATGCAATATGTCTTTCCTGAAATGGTGTTCATTATTTTGCAAAGGAACCTGATGTAGGAAGAAGTAAACTGAGGGAGCATGTGAAAGGGAATAGAGATGGAGGTTCTTGGGAATGTACAATGCAATTGAGAAGATTCAGGAGAAGGGTGTGATTTGGAGCTGGGGGGATGTGTGCAGGTGGATGTGAGAGCAAGGAGAGAACAAGGTATGAAATGGCTATTCAGTATGTTGTCAGAGCAATGTAATAGCTCCAGGAAACTGGTTATGCTAACCAGGAGAACCTGATTGATTTTTCCAGCTCAAGAGGAGGGAACAAAGGAGTCAGATGGTATTGATGAACTCAGTCTTAACAGTTAGTTTAATTATTTCTTTTAAAAATCAATGGAATTATCATATGAGAAAGTTTTCTGCAGTTTCATATTATTGATCATGTGTCGTATTTTACATAACGTGAAGGGGAACAAGGTTTCTAGGCAAAACGTTCATCGTTATGGAGGGAGCGAGGCTGAGGTTACATGCTCTTACACTACCCAAGTTACTGCTATGGAAATTTAGTAATTACTCCCAGGAGAATTACCATAAAGCAAAAAGAGTTAGGGTTATACTTAGGAAAAAATCTGTATGAGATAAATGATGAAAACGCTTTAATTATGATGAGATGCTTAATATTTTGCGTAATTGGATAACAAAACTCTGCACTGCCATAAATTGACATTTTTTATGTCTTTTAAACTGAGTTGTCTGGAAGCCTGTATAGGCATCTCTTCATTAGTATGCAGATCTAAACTGCATTTAAGTTTATAATTTTCTGAGATCATTACAGCATCTCTGTTACATGTGCTCCCTACATGCATGCTCAGCCTCTACTTGATTAAAAATCATCATTTAGACACATTCAAAACACTGGCTCTAGGAGTGAGTCTGACTTACAAAATTCATTGTATTTCAGAGCTGTAACAGTAAGTTACACTTTGAAGCAGAATTAATAATCAAAATGCATAGTGAGACACGGTGGGCTCAATGGCACTCAGTTTCTCCCCTCAGCTCTTTTCACCTTCTTGGAGCTTGTCTTGCTGTCTTAACTGGCTGCCAGCTCTGAGCCTTCCTCATTAGCAGCAAGCAGAGCAATGAACCCCTGTCTTCCTGGGACAAGTTATGCCTTAGTCCACCTGGTTCTTTCTCTGATGCACCACCTGATACTTGGCTAACCAAAGCAGGCTCTTCAAAAGATGGGCAGAATGGAACAGAGAAGAATTTCCAGGTCCTCCATGTGTGTCACCTTCTCTTGCTGACTCATACCATGTGTGCCTTATTAACTACCATGACAGAGTTATCCATTAACAATAGCAAAGAAAAAAAATTCCTGTCTGGGTAAGCCTGATGACCAGTTCTTTGAGCAAAGAAAAAGTTAACAAGAAAGCTGATTATAGACCCAGGGGAGTGGGAATGGCTATTGTAGGCTTCAATATGTTCCTGCCCCTTGGATGTTGGGGAAATGAGTAGCATTGCAGGAGCAATGTGAGGTCTCCGTTTGGGAGCTTCTTGGGAATGCTGATCTCAGATGTGCTGTGGTGGGCCAGAACTGACAGTGACTGAAGCTCTGTGTTGGTCTTCTACTCTCAAGATCATGAAGAGCCTGTGGCTTTTTAAAGGAATCTCTTTTTTTCATGATTCGGGCAGGAATATCATGGCAGCAGAGATTCGGTGCACTCAGCCTGTGGTTCGATCATCAACTATGAGAAGTTGGCAGTTCAGAAAAAAAGTGGTTGAAATGCCATTCTTTCCAGGGAAATAGGCTCACCGCGCTTTTTGTCAGTAAATCAGGCTGATATGAAAAATGTTGTGTTGAAAGGAAGAGAGACACAGCTTATTTTTATTCCCACTTAGAACGAGGCTTCTTCCTCTATGTGCACTTTTGGGAGATTAATGCAAAATGGGATTGGCCGCTGATCCAAGTTAAGATTAAGCAGTCTGACTCCTGTACTAGGAATTAGTTAGCAGATGTCAGGTAACTTCTTATTGTGTGAATCTTTTACTCAGAAAGGTCGTACTTTAAGTTTGGGGATAATATACTTAGTTTTACTAGTCTAATGTGCACACAGAGGGCAACACATAAGATCAGTTTTCCCTATGGGAGCCACAAGCAATACCTCTG